AGTGCGGGGGCCTGACAGAGCGCAGGAGAGACACTACTCTGACTTCACTCAGAGGCGGCCTCTGAAAGGCGCGCTGCCCGAAGAGAACAGGCGGCTCAACACGTCAGCCTTAGCGGAAGGCCTTCCCCTCTGACTCTTGCGCTGACTCCTGGGCGGCTCATCGTAGCTGCCGTTGTGGGAGTCACTCGTCGTCCCGCTGCTGCCTGAACTCTTCTGCGCGGCGGGCCTCTTCCTGGGTGTCGTCTGAGCGGCGGGCCTCTTCCTGGGTGTCGTCTGAGCTGCTGGGCGCTTCCTCAGAGCGTTAGCGGCCTTGGCCTGAGCCTGCGTGGCGGCCTTGACCTTAGCCTCCTCAGCTGCCCTTTTGTGCCACTGAGCTGCCTCTTTCTTACGGTCCCTGATCCACTTCCTACGCTTTGACTCTGACCAAGCGTCTTCTCCGTGAGGAACTGAGCGGAACTTCGCGTACTCCCCCTCGTCTGAACTCCATCCTGTTGTGTCTGGCCCAACTGCAACTGCATCCAAGTCGATCGAGCTTTTCCACTCCATCCCGCTGAAGGCTCTGAGCGAAAGAATGGTCTGCTGCTGATGGCGGATGCAGATCGAATCCTAAAGCTTGAGCCTGAAAACTGAACCACAATGGCTACGGAGAAGCTCAGAAGTCTCTGCTGCACTGGACTGAACCGGAATGAATTCGAGGATCTCGTGAACTCTGCTGTAATCTGAAAAGGAAGTGTGCGACCGAGGAAAGGCGTAGAGTCCTGAAAAGGAATTGGCCTCTTCGGTCACCTCAGGGGCCGTCTTGGATGTGTTCTCCTCCTCCTCCTCCTTCTCCTCCTCTTCTTCTCATTGCGATTTCTATTTCAAACCCCTTTGAGAAATTGTTTTTTTTTCGGCCGTCGTATGGGGTAGTCCATCCCAGGGTATCCCGGGCGCCCCGCACCGAGGCGTTATCTTAGCACCCGACACCCACGGAAAAAAAAGGCAGGGCCTGATCAGGAAAAAAAGGAACGTAAGGAAAACTGTAGAAATTGTAAGGAAACTAAGGAAAAGCAATGGAAAGCTAAATAACACTAACGAAAAGCTCAGAACAGTAAGAAAACGCTAAGGATAGCGACAGAAAAGAAACTAAGGAAAAGTAAACGAAGACTAAGGAAAAGTTCATTGCGACCGAGGAAAGGCGTAGAGTCCTGAAAAGGAATTGGCCTCTTCGGTCACCTCAGTGTTCTCCTCCTCCTCCTCCTTCTCCTCCTCTTCTTCTCATTGCGATTTCTATTTGAAACCCCTTTGAGAAATTGATCTTTTTCGGCCGTCGTATGGGGTAGTCCATCCCAGGGTATCCCGGGCGCCCCGCACCGAGGCGTTATCTTAGCACCCGCCAAAAAAATGGGTGGGCGCTGAAGGCACAAAGAAAACTAATGTATCATGGGGATTAATATTACCTGAATCGCCATAGGAAATTCTTTAACAAATTGAAGAACATTAAAGAAGAGCTGTGGAACACTAAAGAAAAGCTGAAAAACCAAAGAAATTGGTAACGACAAGCTCAGGCAAACTAATGGAAAGCTAAGGAAATCAATTGAAAAGCTAAAGATTCTTAAGGAAAATGTAAAGAAATCTAAATAAAACTAAAGAAAAAGTTAAGGAAAACTCCAGGAAAGCTAAGGACAACTAAAGAAAAGCTGAGGAAAACTAAGGAAAAGCTGAGGAAAGCTAAGAAAATCTAAGGAAAAGCTAAAGAAAAGCTGAGGAAAACTAAGGAAAAGCTGAGGAAAGCTAAGAAAATCTAAGGAAAAGCTAAGGAAAAGCTGAGGAAAACTGATGAAAAGCTGAGGAAAACTAGCGAAAAGCTGAGGAAAAGCTTACAAAACGCAGGAAAAGCTACAGAATACTAAGAAAATCTAAGGAAAACTAAGGAACAGGTGAGGAAGAATAAAAAAAAGCTGAAGAGAATGCAGGAGAACTACAAAAAGCAAAGGAAAACTATTGAAAAAGCTACGGAAAACCAAAGAAACACTAAGGGAAACCAAGGAAAAGCTGAGGAGGACGAAGGACAAGCTAAGGAAAACCAGGAAAAAGCTGAGGGAAACTAAAGAAACTAAGAGAAAGCAGAGAAAAACTAAAAAAAGCTATGAAGAAAACGAGGGATGACTGAGGAAAAGCTCCCCTTGTTGCGTCCAAGCAGCAGGGGAGCACCGCAGCTTGAGCGAGGTGGCGGAGTCGCGCGGCAGCGCCATGGAATGTGAGACAACTGAATCGAACTGACAGAAGGACAGAAGCCACCTGAGGGATTTCTTTTCTTCGCGACGCCTGCCCTCGGCGCCTGAACGTTCGGGCGGTCTCGGAGTCTCAAGTGAGACAATCTGGCGGTCTCGCTGAGGACGCGAGCACTGAAAGCCGGAAGTCCGAAAAGAAGGCCTAACACAGGCTGGACAGCTCACTGCGCCTTATTCACCTGCACATGCCCCTGAGCACGCTCATCGTGCTCATTCTCCACCAGGTCGGCGGTTTCCCATGCCTCACGCAATACCTGAGGGCGTGCTCATGGCTGCGCGCGACGCAGCCTGAGCGGTACTCGCACTTAGCACATACCTGCACTGTCTGGATCATCTTCACGTGGCTGACGTACGCCACACACTCGTCCTTGTTCAAGTTGCTGAACTGGATCTGGTCGAACGCTGCCTGAAGAACTGGCAACGGCAAGCTCCTGAGCCATTTCTCGAAGCCCTTCTGTCCCTTCTCCTTAGGCTCCGACGCTGCCAGCTGTTCCTGGGCTTCCTTCTGAGCCATCGCCTCAGCAGCCGCGGCATGGGCCTGAGCCTGAGCCTCCGCCTCAGCAGCGGTCTTGGCCTGAGCTCCCGCCTCAGCAGCAGCCTCGGGTTGAGCCTCCGTCTCAGCCTCTCCAGCGGCCTCGGCCTCGGCCTCCGCCTGAGCAGCTGCCTTGACCTGCGCCTCGGCCTCAGCAGCGGCCTCTGCCTGAGCCTCCGCCCGAGCAGCTGCCTTGACCTGCGCCTCGCCCTCAGCAGCGGTCTGCTCCTGAGCCTCCGCCTGCGCAGTGGCCTTGGCCTGAGCCTCCGCCTGAGCAGCGGCCTTGGCCTGAGCCTCAGGCGCCTCCTTGCCCGCCTCCTTCTGAGCGCCTCCCTGACCAGCTGGCTTGGAAGATTTAGCCGCCGCCTCATGGACCTGATTCTCCATGATCTTCCTGACGGCGTCCTTGACCTCCTGCTTCAATTTCTGGTTCTCTTCCGCCCTCAGCCTCCTCCTCACCTCCTTCGGGTCGTCGGGGATGGCGTCGGGGAGCGTCTTGCACCAGATGCTGACGAGCGCCGCCTGCTCAGCTCTGTTCCTGAGCTCCTGGGCCTCTTTCTCATCTGTCTGCGCCTTCGTAGTTTTCGCCTGAAGGAGTGCCTGGGCAGCCGCGCGCTTCGCCTCCTCAAGCTTAGCGTCTGAAACCCAGCTGACTCTCGTTTTTTCGAGTTGCTTCACCGCGCTCGCCCTCGTCCTCGTCCTCAGAGTGTGTGTGTGTGTGTGTGTGCGTGTGTGTGCGTGCGCGTGTGTGCGTGTGTGCGTGTGTGCGTGTGTGTGTGTGTGTGTGTGTGTGTGTGTGCTGACCGTGAGAAGCGATTAAGAAACCCTCCCCCCCTGCGAGACCCGCGGGGCCCCTAGGATCCGCCCCCTTCCCGGTGCCAGGATAACGCCGCCAGGGTGCGCAGGGATATCGTTTCGCCGGGAGGGGGGGGGGGGGGGGGGGGGGGGGGTTTCTTAAATGCTTTTTCGGGTTATTCCTAAATAAAACAATTCAGTTGTTTCGATTTACGGATTCGCAACGTTCTGATCGGCGTCGTTTTGGTGAGGAAGTCCTGTGCCAGAGCTCCGAAAACTCATTCATAACGTTGGACAATTCGAACCCTATCGCATTTCGTGGCTTTCATCGTCGTTTCGTCATGGCCAAACTGAGACCAGAAAAACCGTAACGTCCCAGAACGCCATTCCTGGCGATCCCAGGGCCGTTTTGTCATAATCAGGCTAGCACCAGAAAGCAGCGCAACGTCCCGGAGCGCCATGCCTGGCGACCTCATCGGCGTCTCGCTTGAGCCAGGCTAGGACGGCACACAGAAGCAGCGGCCCGACTAGTAGAATCGAAGTCCCGTATCGTGCATAGAATTCAGAAGGGGCCCTCGAAACGGCCTTGCAGGAAGGCCGTGGATGGAAACGATTAGCGCGAAACTGACTCGTAACGTTGGAATTTCTCCATTCGGAGCGCCCTTCTCCGATTACGAATCACACGGTGGGGCCTTCTTGGGGAATTCCAGGTCCGTATGACACGCGTCGGCGGGTAGAGAAAAAAAACACATTGCGAATGAGAGGCAGCCCAAGAGACCCTCATATTCATCCAAGAGCTCCTGTTTCTCGTCCTCCCGCCTCCTCCTCCTCCTCCTCCTCCTACTACTACTCCTCCTCCTCCCCCTCCTCCTTCTCCTCATATCTTCTTTCCCCCCTCCTCAAACCTGGGACTCACCGGATATTGAGTGGGAGCGTCTTTCGTTAAAGACCTCTTCATTACGCTGGCCCCTACTCCTCCTCAGCCTTCTCCTTCTCCCTCCACGTCCTTCGAAAGACCCACGGAGACATGTATGGTTCGCTCCTGGGCTGCATGCAGCTTTGCGTTCCTGATCAAGGTACCTCGAGTGGGGATCGTTTCTGGATGGGGCGCGAAGCGTCAAGATTTCCTACAGCTGCGGTTTGTGCGAACAGCACGTCTGCGAAGTGCCCCAGACCCCAACAACGGTCCAAACTTTTTGGTGATGGGAAGCACTGGTAGGATGCTAGTGTATCTCCATCATCTACGAATCATGCTCTCTGTACTCTCTTCCGCACGCTCTTGGCTGAAAGAGGCAGTGGACTGAGCCTGAAAAAGCTGGGTATAATGCATCTCAACCCCTTCGCCCACCACAAGATTTCTGAAATCGGGAAGACCTTCGCCTCGGAAACACTCACCATGATTAGAAGTGGCAGTTGTTCTGGTTCTGGTTTCCCTCCCGGCACTTCAAGGCGCCAGCGGACGTCCAATCTTGACAATCGTCTCCATGGCCGCCCTCGCCAGTGCCAGTCATCCACGAGCAATCGTAGCCCTCGTAGTTAATCGGGTTGGTCACGTAGTGCGCGTACCAGGTGCAAGTACGGTCGCCTGCATGTACGGACGGGATGTGCTCGAAAACTCCGTTCAAGATCCTGCACGTCCTGGCGCAGCCATTCGGCCCATCGTCGCAGAAGTCGTCGCAGTAGCTGTCGCACCTGCACTCGTGCGGTGTGCCCTCGGCGTAGTTTCTCGTGTAGGTCATCCCGTCGCAGCCCTCGTCGGCGGCCAGTGCGGCACCGAGAGACTGGATAGATGGGCACGCCTCACCATCGTATGATGGCCCGCCGATCGCCGAGGCATCGCAGTACCGGCAGCCCGAGTCCTCGACGCACCCTTGCCCTGGGCAGGTCGGGTCCTCGAAGCACCAGATAGCCGAGTTGGCATGCGGTGCTGCGCAAGGCTTCGCGTCCGCAGTGCAGCCCGAAGACGGCGCTGGCGAAGGGCACGCCTCACCATCGTACGATGGCCCGCCGATCGCCGAGGCATCGCAGTACCGGCAGCCGGAATCCTCGACGCACCCTTGCCCTGGGCAGGTCGGGTCCTCGAAGCACCAGATCCGCCACCGTGCCTGCACGATGTGGATAACCTACGGTGTGAAGCACTGTCTGGCGGGGTTTTTGACATCTTTCAAGGGACCCCCCTCTCGCCACGCTTCAATGCATGCACTGCCCCCCCACCAGCGCTTCGTTGGCGCGATCTTTCGAGCAGTCGCCATCCCAGGCGCTGGGCTGGCACGGTGGCGGGGAGTGCCGCAGGCAGCTGGATAGCCGAGTTGGAGTGCGGGGCTGCGCATGGCTTCGCGTCCGCGGTGCAGCTCTCCAGGCGTCGCGCCGCAGCAGAGCCCCGCAAGCTTGCCGTGGTCTCCTCAGTGGCCAGCGCTGCCCCGAGCGACAGCATGGCGAATGACACGCGGGCCATGGCGCTCACACAACGTCTGCACCTTGCACTCTGTGAACTGAGGCTTCCCACAAGATCGATCGACTTGAGCCAAACCGAAAACGGTCCTCAAATCAGGAAAATCCGACCGTCGTCATTTGACATGAGGCCCCTGCGGGGCGTGCTCCAGGCCAGCCCAGAGTCGAGGAGTCTTCTCCCCCCTCCAATCTCTCACCCCTCATCCATCCACAATTACTCAATATGAATATTACGTCCCCTTCTCCCCTGGCCCAGTGCGGAAGTTGACCCACCCTTTCCGCGTAGTGCGTAGTGCTTGTAGACAGGGTTCAAACGTTGATATCCCGTATGCTGTGTTTTACAACCCCGTCACGATCGGTCCTTCAAAATGGTGCTGCCGCTGCAGCGTCATTGCCCCCGCCGTTCACTATGGCACGGTTGCGACAGTGCGGGCCACTTTTCTGGAACCGAGTCCTTCCTCATTTGTGCCGCCTCCCTCCTTACCTCCCTCCATCCTTTCCCCTACTCCGCCTTGTCCTGATCCGCCTGCTCCTCCCGCTCCTTCCACTCCAGCTCATGCTGCTGCTGTTGTTCGTCCTCGTCCTCGTCCTTGCTCCTGCTCCTCCTCCTCCTCCTCCTCCTCCTCCTCCTCCTCCTGCTGCTCATATTCCTGCTCATCCACCACCTCCTCCAGTGTACGCAACTCACCTTTTCCGATTACGAATAACACGATGGAGCCTTGCTGGGGAATGCCAGGTCCGCATGACACGTGTCGGCGGTCAGAGAAAAAAAAACACCATGGGAACGAGAGGCATCCCAACGAACCCTAGTATTCATCCAAGAGGCTCCTGCCCTACAGCCCAGGCACGGTGGCAGATTGGGCCGAAGGCCACTTGATCCGCCGCCCCCGGTGGTCTTGCCACAAGGGTGCCTGGCATGCTGAACCCTACGGCTTCGTTTTGGTTCTTGTTCAAAAGAACTCCCTCTGGGGCTTGAGCCCAGCGCGCCGGCCACGCGGAAGGCTCCCAAACGAGCACGGCGTCCACGAACAAATCTCCAAGACGGCGTCCTATCTTCTAAGATGGTCACGTTGGCCCAAGATGGCCTCCAGGATGGCCCAAGATGGTCCAAATTGCCTCCAAGTCCGCCAAAGAAGCCACCAAGACGGCCCAAGATGGCTCCAAGATGCCTCCGAGTCCTCCCAAGAAGCCTCCAGCACGTCTGCGAACAGCACGTCTGCGAAGTGCCCCAGACCCCAACAACGGTCCAAACTTTTGGTGATGGGAAGCGCTGGTAGGATGCTAGTGTATCTCCATCATCTACGAATCATGCTCTCTGTACTCTCTTCCGCACGCTCTTGGCTGAAAGAGGCAGTGGACTGAGCCTGAAAAAGCTGGGTATAATGCATCTCAACCCCTTCGCCCACCACAAGATTTCTGAAATCGGGAAGACCTTCGCCTCGGAAACACTCACCATGATTAGAAGTGGCAGTTGTTCTGGTTCTGGTTTCCCTCCCGGCACTTCAAGGCGCCAGCGGACGTCCAATCTTGACAATCGTCTCCATGGCCGCCCTCGCCAGTGCCAGTCATCCACGAGCAATCGTAGCCCTCGTAGTTAATCGGGTTGGTCACGTAGTGCGCGTACCAAGTGCAAGTACGGTCGCCTGCATGTACGGACGGAATGTGCTCGAAAACTCCGTTCAAGATCCTGCACGTCCTGGCGCAGCCATTCGGCCCATCGTCGCAGAAGTCGTCGCAGTAGCTGTCGCACCTGCACTCGTGCGGTGTGCCCTCGGCGTAGTTTCTCGTGTAGGTCATCCCGTCGCAGCCCTCGTCGGCGGCCAGTGCGGCACCGAGAGACTGGATAGATGGGCACGCCTCACCATCGTATGATGGCCCGCCGATCGCCGAGGCATCGCAGTACCGGCAGCCCGAGTCCTCGACGCACCCTTGCCCTGGGCAGGTCGGGTCCTCGAAGCACCAGATAGCCGAGTTGGCATGCGGTGCTGCGCAAGGCTTCGCGTCCGCAGTGCAGCCCGAAGACGGCGCTGGCGAAGGGCACGCCTCACCATCGTACGATGGCCCGCCGATCGCCGAGGCATCGCAGTACCGGCAGCCGGAATCCTCGACGCACCCTTGCCCTGGGCAGGTCGGGTCCTCGAAGCACCAGATCCGCCACCGTGTCTGCACGATGTGGATGACCTACAGTGTGAAGCACTGTCTGGCGGGGTTTTTGACATCTTTCAAGGGACCCCCCTCTCGCCACGCTTCAATGCATGCACTGCCCCCCCCACCAGCGCTTCGTTGGCGCGATCTTTCGAGCAGTCGCCATCCCAGGCGCTGGGCTGGCACGGTGGCGGGGAGTGCCGCAGGCAGCTGGATAGCCGAGTTGGAGTGCGGGGCTGCGCATGGCTTCGCGTCCGCGGTGCAGCTCTCCAGGCGTCGCGCCGCAGCAGAGCCCCGCAAGCTTGCCGTGGTCTCCTCAGTGGCCAGCGCTGCCCCGAGCGACAGCATGGCGAATGACACGCGGGCCATGGCGCTCACACAACGTCTGCACCTTGCACTCTGTGAACTGAGGCTTCCCACAAGATCGATCGACTTGAGCCAAACCGAAAACGGTCCTCAAATCAGGAAAATCCGACCGTCGTCATTTGACATGAGGCCCCTGCGGGGCGTGCTCCAGGCCAGCCCAGAGTCGAGGAGTCTCCTCCCCCCTCCAATCTCTCACCCCTCATCCATCCACAATTACTCAATATGAATATTACGTCCCCTTCTCCCCTGGCCCAGTGCGGAAGTTGACCCACCCTTTCCGCGTAGTGCGTAGTGCTTGTAGACAGGGTTCAAACGTTGATATCCCGTATGCTGTGTTTTACAACCCCGTCACGATCGGTCCTTCAAAATGGTGCTGCCGCTGCAGCGTCATTGCCCCCGCCGTTCACTATGGCACGGTTGCGACAGTGCGGGCCACTTTTCTGGAACCGAGTCCTTCCTCATTTGTGCCGCCTCCCTCCTTACCTCCCTCCATCCTTTCCCCTACTCCGCCTTGTCCTGATCCGCCTGCTCCTCCCGCTCCTTCCACTCCAGCTCATGCTGCTGCTGTTGTTCGTCCTCGTCCTCGTCCTTGCTCCTGCTCCTCCTCCTCCTCCTCCTCCTCCTCCTCCTCCTCCTGCTGCTCATATTCCTGCTCATCCACCACCTCCTCCAGTGTACGCAACTCACCTTTTCCGATTACGAATAACACGATGGAGCCTTGCTGGGGAATGCCAGGTCCGCATGACACGTGTCGGCGGTCAGAGAAAAAAAAACACCATGGGAACGAGAGGCATCCCAACGAACCCTAGTATTCATCCAAGAGGCTCCTGCCCTACAGCCCAGGCACGGTGGCAGATTGGGCCGAAGGCCACTTGATCCGCCGCCCCCGGTGGTCTTGCCACAAGGGTGCCTGGCATGCTGAACCCTACGGCTTCGTTTTGGTTCTTGTTCAAAAGAACTCCCTCTGGGGCTTGAGCCCAGCGCGCCGGCCACGCGGAAGGCTCCCAAACGAGCACGGCGTCCACGAACAAATCTCCAAGACGGCGTCCTATCTTCTAAGATGGTCACGTTGGCCCAAGATGGCCTCCAGGATGGCCCAAGATGGTCCAAATTGCCTCCAAGTCCGCCAAAGAAGCCACCAAGACGGCCCAAGATGGCTCCAAGATGCCTCCGAGTCCTCCCAAGAAGCCTCCAAGATGGCCCAAGACGGCTAAGAGGCTCCCAATACGCCCCCAAGACGTTTTCCAGGAGGGCCCGAAGAGGCCAAATTCATTGGTTTTCCCAATGTTGTTGAAGGATGTTTGCGTTTGCTTCTTCTCGGCCTTCCGAAAGAACAAGACGGCCCAAGAGGCTCCAAAAACCGCGCCAAGATGGTTCCAAAGGTCTCCACGATGACCTACTGACGGCCAAAAAAACATGGAAAACAGTCCCAAGAGCGCCTCCAAGTTCGCCAAGGTCTGAATTGGCCTCCAAGACGGCCCAAGAACAAGATGGCTTCCACGACGGCCCAAGCGGGTCCAAGATACCTCCAAGTCCGCCCACGAAGCCTCCACGATGGCCAAAGAAGCCCCCAGAGGCATCAAAAACTGCCCAGGAGGCCTCCAAGAGATTTCCAGGAGGGCCCGAATGTACCCAAATCATTGATGCTCCTTATGTTCGGGAGGGATTTGGGCACTTGCTTCTGTTCGGCCTTCCGACGGCTCAAGACGGCGCAAGAGGCCCCCAAGACGGCCCCAAGATCGCCGAAAAAGCCCCCACGATTGCCCCCACGACGGCCTAATAGGCCCCCAAGACGACCCGAAAAGCACCCCAGGACGGCCCAAGAGGCCCCCAAGATGCCGTTCCGATCGTCAGATACCCGCAGTTCAAAGATCCCGCGCCCCCCCTCCCGCTCCTCCTACCACAGCTCCAATATTTCCCATCAGCAGTGACAAAATCCCACCAGCTCTTTAGCGCGTGAATGGTTTAGGGCGCTTCCTCTTCCACCCCCTTCTTGCCCTTTGGGAAGGTTGCCCATCACCCGCCCCCCCCCACCCCCTGGGATTGGAAGGAGAGGGCCACGTGTCGCTGGAACGACCACGATGATCTCAGCGAAGGCACACATCATTGATGTGACTCAAACTTGGGGCTCATAGTAGTAGTCGTAGTAGTACTAGTAGTACCAGTAGTAGGAGTACCAGTAGTAATATAATAATGGTGATAGTAATAATAAAAGTAGTAGTAGTAGTCGTCGTCGTAGTAGCAGTAGTAATAGTCGTAGTAATAGTAGTGGTAGTGGTAGTCGTAGTAGTCGTAGTAGTCGTAGTAACAGTGGTAGTAACAGCAAAAGTAGTAGTAGTCGTAGTAGTAGTAATAGAAGTAGTAGTCGTAGTAGTACTAGTAGCAGGAGTAGTGGTAGTAGTAATCGTGGTAGTAGTGGTACTCGTACTACTACCACTACTACTACTACTACTACTACTACCACTACTACTACTACTACTACTACTACTACTACTACTACTACTACTACTACTACTACGACTACGACTACGACTACGACTACGACTACGACTACTACGACTACTACTGCTACGACTACTACTCTACTACTACTACTACTACTACTATTCCTACGACTACTGCTACTACTGTTACTACTGCGACTACTACTACTACTACTACTACTACTATTACTACTACTACTACTGCTACAACGACTATGAATATTGGTAAGTAGTGGTGCCAGTCGTACCAGTAGGAGTAGCAGTAGAAATTGTCGTCGTCGTGGTCGTACTAATAGCTGAGCAGCATCATCAGTACTAGTCGTGGCTGTCATGTTCTGCGCAATAGTAGTGGTGGTAATAATAATAATGGTGCGAGCAGCAATAGTTGTAATAACAGCAGTGGTACCACTAACACTAACGTCATAACGGTATTGATCGTATTAGCAGTAGTAGTGGTAGTGGTGGCGGTGATAGTAGCAGTCGTAACCGGAATACAAAATTATAATGGTAAAATGAATAATAGTAATCGTAATCGCAGCCGTCGTCGTAGTAGAATTAATCGTAGTACTGTAAGAAGTAGTGGTCGCAGCAGCAATAACAACAACACTAGCACTAGTGGTCGTAGAAGTAGTAGTAGTAGTAGTAGTAGTAGTAGTAGTAGAAGTAGTAGTAGTAGTAGTAGTAGTAGTAGTAGTAGCAGTAATAGTAGCAGTAGCAGTAGTCGTAGTAGTAGTAGTAGCAGTAGTGGTAATAGTAGCACAGACAGTAGCAGCAGTCGTCGTAGTCAGCGCAATCGTTATTCAAAATCCGAGGGTTCTAAGCTGGGCACGATCGGCGGCCGCCGCCGAAAATGCAAAAAAAAAAAAAACGAAGCACAAGTGTATGCTTTTGGGTACCATATCGCCGTGGCCCAGACGGCATTCATCTTCTTTGAAAGGCAGTATTCTAACGTTATGACTTGGTTGCGCGTTGACCTTTTACATCCGCGGCTGCCATCTCGTAAACGGGGGGCCTATGGCCTGTGGGGTCGCGAGAGAGCGTCGTGGGGATATGTCTTATTAGCTGCAGCTTCAGTTACGCCATCGTGGAGGCGCCAGTTTGTCGCGCTAGCTCGGGCCGCCTTAGCTTGGGCCAGCCGAAACCATAGCGGGTCCATTTGAATTCGGGATATTTTGTTTTTAATTTTTTCGCCACATGAGTACCACTCGGGCCGCTGTTTCCGTGTGCCGTCCTAGCCTGGCTCAAGCGAGACGCCGATGAGATCGCCAGGCATGGCGCTCCGGGACGTTGCGTTGTTTTCTGGTGCTAGCCTGGCTATGACGAAACGATCCTGCGATCGCCAGGAATGGCGCTCTGGCACGTTACCGTTGCTTCGGACCTGGGCTGGCTATGGCGAAACGATGATGAAAGCCACGAAGTGCGACAGGGTTGCAACTTTCCAACGTTATGAATGAGGTTTTGGAGCTGTGGCACAGGACGTCCTCACCAAAACGACGACGATCGGAACGTTGAGCACTCCTGAATATAACAATTCAGTTGTTTCTATTTACGGATTCGCAACGTTATGATCGGCGTCGTTTTGGTGAGGAAGCCCTGTGCCAGAGCTCCGAAAACTCATTCATAACGTTGGAAAGTTCGAACCCTATCGCATCAGGAAAACCGTAACGTCCCAGAACGCCATTCCTGGCGATCCCAGGACCGTTTTGTCATAGCCAAGCTAGCACCAGAAAGCAGCGCAACGTCCCGGAGCGCCATGCCTGGCGATCTCATCGGCGTCTCGCTTGAGCCAGGCTAGGACGGCACACAGAAGCAGCGGCCCGACTAGTAGAATCGGAGTCCCGTATCGTGCATCGGATTCAGAAGGGGCCCTCGAAACGGCCTTGCAGGAAGGCCGTGGATGGAAACGATTAGCGCGAAACTGACTCGTAACGTTGGAATTTCTCCATTCGGAGCCCCCTTCTCCGATTACGAATCACACGATGGGGCCTTCTTGGGGAATTCCAGGTCCGTATGACACGCGTCGGCGGGTAGAGAAAAAATAGCACATTGCGAATGAGAGGCAGCCCAAGAGACCCTCATATTCATCCAAGAGCTTCTGTTTCTCGTCCT